AAAGCACGATGATAAAGTCCATCATTGAACAGATACGATGTAAAGCTAAGGTTTGTAATGTAAAGTTATGTTTCGCGAATGACATATTGTGGAAAATAGTAGAAAAATTCTCGTGTAATTTACTTGGACCTAACCGAGCACATATCCCATTCGATAGTGAGTGAAAAGAATTGAATCGCAATCGTGAAGCAATTAACAATACAACTGCACCGAACGAGCAACGCTCTTTATTGAACAACGAAATAACACTTTTGCTGGATTTCACTATGCAATCAGTTTCATTACTCAATTAAGTTCCTATTTACTTTCAACAACACACGCATTCATTGCAACCGCGTATGATCGAAATCTCAAAATATATAGGCAAGCAGTGAGTAACGTTTGCATGGCATGAAGTCGTAATTAATCTACGTACAAACCGATGAACAAATCAAATACGTACGTAATTAGTATTTATTATGTCATACACAAAAGTATGAAGGTTTATTAGTTTCACAGCAAAACTGTCTTTGCAACAATTATTACAACTCTTTTAATTTACTACATAATACACCGAAAATATTTTTTTTTTTTGTTGTTGTTGTTGATAAAATCTAGGATATTTCTGAGAAATGATCGATTTTGCCAGTCTCATTTGATCAGTCGGCGCAAGGTTGCTGCCTCTCACTCCGCTGTTTAAGGCTGAATTAATTAGGTAAGAAACACGCATGAGAGAATCGTTGATGTTTCGGCCGCGAAATCGCAGGCGCGTTTTTCCTCGAAAAACGCACGTGGAAAAATATAACGTAATAAGCCGAGGAGGAACAGCGGCCCATTTACGCCGTACAATTAAGCATTGTGACTGAATTATTCGACAAGGATACCGTGTACCGTTCGTTAACTGTGTAATTAGCCAATTGCTAATTGTCCGGGTTCGCATGAGCTGATTCACTCGCCTCGGTAGCGTATTAACCCTTTGCACTCCGATTTTGCCCCGCCTAACTTCCGCCAACTCCAACCATTTTTGGCGTGTATAATGAAATTTCAGTCTCGAAGGATACATTTTGTTCCCTGTTAATTGAATGAGAAGTTTTTATAGTTACGAAACTATGTAGAAGATCTTTTAATGAGAAAAAAAAAAAAAAGAATAATTATATTCAAGAAATTAACAGCTCTTCCAGTTATGCGTTTTTTTTTTTTTTTTTTTTTTTTTTTTTTTTGATTATACATTCAGTGCTCCGATTTTATCGCACACAACGTAATGATTAAATTAACTATTTAATAAAAATTGCTTTCTTATATTTCTTATCATAGATAAACAATAGAATATTAACATAAACCATAGTCGAGACTCTGAAAAAGTTAAAGAAAACATCCTCCCTTGAAGGAAGATTTTTCATGATAGTTAATCATAATAATTGCTCAGGTCATATTCTGAGTCCAAAATTAATACATATAAAGTATAATAATTATCGCGTATATATTTGGTATATTTGGAGTATTTCGTGTACAAATGTGGTCAATATATAACACAGATGATTTATTAACCTTCTTCGTGTTTTTATTTCATTCATCACAAAAGGAAACGTGTAACATTAAAACATTCGAAAAAAGATGTAGTCGAGGACTGAAAAATCGTGGCGGGAAAATTGGAATGCAAAGGACACGTGTGCATCTCGACGCGCCACGATTATCGCTGACCAACCAGTTGACAGGAACGTGCCGATCTCTTTAGGGTGGTTTGCAACACGAAGATTCGCCTGACAGGATAAAAATCATCCTTCCCGACGTTCGACCATGCAACAATTTTTACACTCTTTACACGCATCTTCATTTCGTTGAAAAGTATGCGCTCCGCTACATTCGTTTATTTACTTGCACGGTTTTCTGACGCGGCATCGCTCCGATAATAACATAAGAATTTAATTAGCAATTTCTTTAATTACATTCGCTAAATAAGATACACGATAACAATAACAATATATATTGTCATTCGTGTTTAGTTTGATGCATGCTGCGCCGGAGATGTCAGATTTTTTTTTTTTTTTTTTTAGTAATTTTTAAAGCGATAATTAACGATAAGTGCGCACATTATTACATAATGCATTATCACGGGAAGATAATTCAAACGGCGATTCAAATACAAGTGAAATAGAGGAAAGAAAAAAATTTCGAAAGACGGAAGATCGTTTTATTTTTGGACGTTTATTGTCGAGCCGTGATTAGCTGGAATTTCGAAAACTGAAGTTAAGAGACAGCTCATGGACATCGCGTAACCTCGACAAATCTTCGGATGCGCTGAAAGGACATGTTCCGTGGCATGCATGTGGTATTTTTCGCGGAGACGAATGCGCCGAAAAGTGAGAGGCAATATTGTCACCGAATCGATACGGTACGTTGGGAATTACACCGGAACGTGTTATTTCTCTGTCATTCGGTACATTTAGAATGCAAGAGCGTGTGTCATTTAAATAACGCCCACTTTTAACTTAAGAAGGAGAGGGTAGCAATTCGAAATACGATTTTCGACCGACGTCAGTCACTCGTGCAACTAGAAAGATTATCATCCGTACGTATGACAGAACGGTCGAACAGCTGTCGTTTCATCAAGCATGCCTGTCGTAAAGACGTTATTAAACCGTGAAACTGATGAAATTTTAATGTGTAACAGCATCGCAAGAATTTTGTCCTGCGCGCGAATAAATATAAATTGTGCTTACCTACGTTGTCGAATACTCGGATTTTCTTAGCAGACCTGCGGATAAGCACAGGAAGCACAATAACACTATGTCACATGAACGAATATTCGTAAAAACCACTTAAAACGATGCAATCACCTCGCGAAACGTCACACTCACTTCAGTCGGGCGGCCATTTTGCTACACACAGCCCGAATGAAGAACATTTTGATCTACGAGAGATAGAAGCTTGAAGTTAAACTACCACAGGCCGCTAGTAACTTTCGAGATACCAACATTACCCAATGGACAATTTCAATTTAGTAAACAGATCTGACATGTTCGAAAATTGACTGGTATCGTTTAACAACGTCATTCTACTTTCCGTATGTTATACTGCGAATCATCATTTCTAATCATCGTTTTTTTCGAATATTGTCAAGCACAATTAGTCTGCTATCTGTATGTGAGTACGCATGACAATGTGGTAACGTGTATATATGGTTGATAGATGATATTTGTGTCCCATATAATTTTGATTGGATGATTGTACTTATTTTAATGTGCTTTTTGAATCAAACCTTGCCATATGGCGATGGCATACAATTAATACGGGATTAATTTATATGAAAGAAACTTAAGTTTATAATTAGATCGCTGAAATGGCGCCGCAATTGCGAATTTTATCTAATGTCATAGAGGTAATTTTTTTATATATTTCCTGTTTTTTTTTTATTGTCATATGAATTAACTGTACAAGTGAATTTGCAGCGTTTAAAAAATATAAAGGACGATGTAACAGGTCATTTATATGGTGTTATGTATAATAACACATTAACAGTACTGACATTTAGTATAAATGTAACAGACAATGTTGAAGCTAATATAAATCATACAACGTTACAATTACATATGTCAGCAGAAGTATACCTTTGTGGTATTTTGCATGTAGGTCAATGTGAAGAAAAACTTCCTGAAATGTTTCAGGTAAGAATATATTAAACGTAGTTTGGCAACAATGAGAGAAAATGTATCCATTTTAATTTATCCTTTTAACATAGGACATTGATATCACGGATAATCCATTATTTTTGAAATATACACATGACAATTTAAAGACACAAGCATATTTTTATATCCATTTAAAACTTGAACCTGTTAATGACATAAAAATCATTAATGAGAATGATATTCGTCGAGAATTTATTTATATTAGGTTAAGAGGAAGCCTGCCATTAATTGCACAGAATGATAATATAATAGAAGTATTAGAAGAATCAAAAAAAAATGTAAGTTATCCATATCTTATTGAAACTGTTGTTATATTTTAGACTATCATTCTCTTACAGATTGTATCAGGTAAAGTAGGAATTCATTTTCCATCAAAAAATGCTTTTATCTTTAATAGTGAAAATATTGAAAAAGATATATCTTTGAGAGAAATTTTAAATATATTTGATTCTGAAGGAAACAAAAATATGAAGAAAGATGTGAAACCTACGGGAATAGAGGTATATATTTTAATGTCTTTCATAATTGTTGTTCTTTTGATATTCTTAAAAAGAATTATATTAATTTCATTAAACCAACAGGATGCTGTGAATGCTTATATACTTTTAAAAATATCTGGAGACAGACTTCCTGAAGAAAATGTTAGATATGCTCCAGTGCTTCAATATATAAAACGTAAGGATTTTGATTCATGTTTTTCAATATGTAATAAATAAATTCAAACAAAAATAATTGTAATATAGGATCATTCAACAGTTTGGAATGTAATTTATTTATTGATACACTGTCATTGGTTAACCTTAATGTAAGTTCAGCAGATCTCTACGGCATATTAGTAGAATCTATGTGCCGAAATATTAAATTGATAGAAAAATGCTTTGAGGATCAACTGCAAAAATCAGAAACATCTATAAAACTTCCACTACCCATCCATTTCAAACCTCAAGGTTTTGGACATTTAATCACAGTAGTGTATCCAAGTGGTTATAGTGATAAAGAAACAAGTGAGACTTTCTATGTTATGTAAAATTTAAAATTTTGTATATCTAGGTAATATAATATCTGATTAAATTTCAGTGGAATATCGTGAAAATTTACATAAAATTTTGGGATTAAATATGACCAGGCCGTATTTCCGTTATGGAAATGCTGTTAAATTTTATAATGATTCACAAACAGACAGTATACTTATAAATCCTCATGAAGCAATTTCAACAAATAATGGTATGTTGAATGATCACGTTACATTATATTACGTTATTATTTTTTAATGTTATCGTAAATTTTTAATTAGATATAATAAACGGTAATCGAAGAGTACAAATTGTACAAGGTTTATATATGTATCATCATTATATGCAAGATAATTTTGATGATAATGGTTGGGGGTGTGCATATAGATCTCTGCAAACCATTATTTCATGGTTTAGGTAATTTTAATAATAAAATAAAGTTAAATTTGGTTTAATTTTATTTAATTGTAAATTGATCATTACAGGTTACAAGGTTACACTGAAATATCAATACCCTCTCATCGTCTAATACAAAAATGTTTAGTTGATATAGGAGATAAACCTTCAAACTTTGTTAATAGTAAACAATGGATTGGCTCTACGGAAGTAGGTTTTGTACTAGAGAGTCTTTTGGATATTAGTGTTAAAGTATTATGTGCATCTACAGGTGAAGAAGTGTCATCATTAGCTCCAAATTTACTGCATCATTTTCAAACACAGGGCACACCAGTAATGATTGGTAATTGACTCTTTTGTTCTTATAAATAAAACTAATCATTTATTTTTTTTAATTTTAAATTATAGGTGGAGGAGTGTTAGCACATACAATTTTAGGAATCAGCTATGATCAAACTACTGGAGACGTTAAATTTTTAATTTTGGATCCTCATTACACAGGTTCCGAACATTTGCCAACTATAGTAAACAAAGGTTGGTGTGGATGGAAATCAAAAAATTTTTGGAAAAAAGATGCATTTTACAACATGTGTCTTCCTCAGAGGCCAATATGCATATGATCGTGTTAAATTAAAAATTCAAAGCAAATTGTGCATAATAATACTGATAATGCCCAAAAATATTTATTATTCATTAGTGAATTGAATGAATGTAATGTACATTTGAATGCTATAGATAATATATATTATATATAAGATTATATATAATATATACGTACATATATATCACGTTAAACTGGACATGCAACTTATATAAAATGTATATGAAAATTATATTTTATTATACAAATATTTCCACATAAGAGTTGATGTCCAAAATTGTTGAGCTGAGAAATATTGTTACTTGTATTTATTTTCACTTTATAATAGCTAATATTAATTGCATACTGAATGCATTTTGAATATAGTGCTATAAACAAATTGAGAAACATAACATTTAATCTTAAGATGCAAATAACCATTCCAATTTCCTATATTGATATTCTAAAGTCAAAAGTTGATATTTGTTTGATACCTTTATTCAAAAATTTTTATTCTTTTATGATTAGCTTTTACTTTTTAAATTGTTTTTCTTCATTAGCAACAAACAAAATATATTTTAATTTTTCAAGAAAATGTCAAACACTAATATTATAAACCAACAAAATATCTCTTTAGCTTGGGAGATTCACATATAAAAATATTTGTCAACATTTTGTAAATTTCAATCATATTAAAGCAACATATGTCACTTAAAGTAAAAGTAAACATGCTTATTATAACATAATTGTAGTTATGTACTATATATTCCTGTATGGAACTAAAAAATTTTGCAGCTATTTGTAAGTTAAAATGTACATTTTGTAACATATATATTACATTTTTTGTATAAATAATTTTAAAAAAATGATTTTATTGAAAAAATTTATATAATTTTCTTTTGTTATTTAATCAACATTAAATAATTTTTTATTTTCCACATATTTTCCAACATTTTTGTCATTATATAAATGAGATAGAAAATAATTTCATTTCCTGTATTTGATAATAATACAACTATTATACAATAATAATAATTAAATAAATTTATTTAATACATGTTTCCCACTGATTTTTGCAAAATTTGTGCAAAACGATTTGTAATTAAAAGTGAAACATCTATAAATCTATCAACACAATTAGTGAGGCATGTTTCCGTTCGACTATCCAATTTGACTCCTGGTTTATCAATACATTTTTCCCAACAAATATCGTTGAATTCGTGAATCTAAAATTGCATTAATACTATCAAAAAGTTTTCAGTTACAAAACAATACTATTGATGTATTCAATATGTACATATACGTGCTGAATAAGTTAACCTCTCGAACGTGTATAAATAAATTTTAAATTAGTTAAAATAATTCATAAGTAACAAAAACAATACTTTCAACTTTAAATTATATCACTTTACCTGAGCTTGAATTTGTGCTTTCTGTTTCTCAGCCATAAAAAATTCTTGTAATTCTGTTTCTGTAAGCTTATTGCCTTCCATTACATTCTCAGTAGCCATTTTTTGAATATATTTTATTTTTTACAAAATAATTTATTTAATATTTTATAAAATTAATAATATTTTAATCTTTTACGTATGCACGTGGTCTTAACAATTAGATAATCACCAAAATCGTTGTTTACCAATAAGTATCTAGTATCTTTTATGTCTCATATAATGTAATTCTCACAAACTAGGGAGTTACTATAGTTATTACTTATAGTTACTAGACTGTATAAAAAATATTTAATTGCAATGGTCAGTGATATATTAAATATAAATAAACATATTTGAAGTATACTAATATGTATTATTTACTTTCTTAATGTATAATAACACATTAAGATAATGTATAATATTTGAAATATAATAATATATAACATATGATTATGCAATGGTATCAAATTCAAATTACCAATTTGTAATAACCAAAAAGGTATAAAAGACTTATTTAAATAGTTATATATAATTTTTTACTAAAATGTACGAAAATTCAATACAAAATGTCTTTTTTTTTAATGGAAAAGACCGCATTCTCGTTGTATTTGTGTATGTACGTATGCGTTTGTTTTCAAGAAGATTAATCGTAATTTATACATTTTCATTTTAGAAAAGAAAAAAATTGTAGGTCTTAAATTTTGATTTTTCAATATAAAATTTTATTAAAAAATTTTTTTGATATCACAATTATCTTATATTGTAATTTAATTGATGTAAATAATTATAAAAATGAATGTTAATTACTCCATGTGTATATATACATATATATATAAAATTATTAATTTTATTTCTTTCCTATTATAGTCAATTTTTAATAATATTATACCTTATTTGTTTTATCATTATAATGACGCTTCACTACGTTAATGACGCCGTGTTTGATTCTCTCTACATAGTTTAAAATATAATTGATTATAAACACGCTCACGATATAAATAATATATATAATTAATTCGACACTGATTTATAGGCACGATTTGACGGCAATAAAAACGCGGCTGCATATCGATAAATTTATTTTAAGAAACTATCTGAAAAATATCGTAGATCCTGTAAAATTTCACGATTCACCATCGCGCAATGTACACGCGCAACATGTTGTTACGGATAGACGGTACGAGAAAAGGAGGATTATGTAATTCAAGATTTTAATTCCGTCGCAATCGTTAATGTTTAATTGCCGAATCATTCCACAAGTTACGAGTCCATTCTCGTGTATGGCAACGTAAGTAGTTAACTAGCAAGTATACAAGTAAGTACGTGTGCGACGATGAACCGTGGAGATCAACAGTCCAGCATATCACGTGCAATTGATGCATGCCAGTTGTAGATACGGCCCTGAATGCCGGCTAGGCTGTTAGCCGGCGCGGAACGTAGCGGCGCTGCATTTCAGGAACCGTCGTCGACGGCGTCATCACTATCGTGGTAGAATCGTTGCGTTCTAACGATCATATTCCGCTGAGGGAGAGGAGCCGAACGGAGTGGAACCGTGTCCTCTAAAGGCACACGCTGGTGCCGTCCGTGATACGTCAACGTGACGGGTGGTGTGGTGTGCGCGCGTATTTATTTGATTCGTATAATCATTGACACAATGACCACAACCGTGGAGGACTACTATGACGGTTCCCGGACTTTTTCCTGGCTCGCTGATTTTATCGACGTGCCGATCGACCAGGTGAGAAATGCAATCGAAAAATCCATGTCCTTTTTCTATTTCTCTCACGGACATCCACCTTTCTTATTTACCTTTCTACCGTTCAAAAGGAGGGCGCATCG